CTAGAAATCCTATGAGAAATGCACACAGAGTGTCTGAACGTTGATGCACATGTACACCTGGGAGCTGCTTGGCAGGGAACGCAGTGCCAGACAGAAGAGACCTCCCTTTCGGTGACAAGCATTCCATACAGCACTCTTCAAAGAAGCTTCTTTTTGCAACAGATGGAGGCTACTGCAGAGTTACACATCTGGTCAGGCACAGAGAACATACGTCTGGGAGATACCCAGTACTAGGTGATACACCTGCAGTCGAATCTCTACAACTAAGTCTCATGGAACATAGCCAGAATAAATAACTTAAAATCTCCCAACTAAAAAAAGCCCAGGACCAATTGGATACAGTACAGAAGTCTACCAGATCTTCAAAGAAAAACTAAGACCAATACTCTTCAACCATAAAATAAAGAACACTTCCAAATTCTTTTTATGAAGCCAATATTATCCGAATACCAAAACCAAACAAAGATCTAACAAAAAAGAAAATTATAAGCCAATCTCTCTGATGTACATCAATACAAAAATTCTCAATAAAATATCTGCAAACTGAACGCAAGAGCACATCAAAGAGATTATCCATCATAATCAAGTTGGCTTCAATCCCAGAGTGGCAGTGATGGTTCAACATATGTAAATCCATTAATGTAATCCACCACATAAACAGATTCCAAGACAGAAACCACATGATCATTTCATTAGATACAGAAAAGACCTTTGACAAAATCAAACATCTCTTCATGATAAAAGTAATGCAGAATACAGGGAACCAGGGGACATGTCTCAACGTAATAAAGGCAATATACACCAATCTCACAACCAAATCCTACTAAATGGAGAAAAACTCAAAAGTGTTTCCATTAAAATCAGGAACTAGACAAGGATTTGCACTTTTTCCATTTCTGCTCAATATAGTGCTTTAAGTTTTAGCTAGAGAAATAAGTGAAGGAGTTAAAAAGGCTACAAATCATAAAGAAGTCAAAGTACCTTATTTTCAGATGACATGATTCCTTATATAAAAGAACCTAAATATTCTACCAGAAAACTCCTTTAGCTGACAAAAACACATTCAGCAAAGTAGCAGGATACAAAATTAGCACACAAAAAAATCAGTGGCCTTCTTATATGCCACCAACAAATATAGTGAGAAAGAAACCAGGGAAATAGTTCCATTCATCATACCCTCAAAAACCATAAACTATCTTGGAAAAAATTTAACCAAGGAAATGAAAGACTTGTTTAATAAAAATTTTAAGATATTGAAGGAAAAAATTCAAGAAAATACCAGAAGATGGAAAGATTTCCCATGCTTATGGATCAAAAGGAGTAATATTTTCAAAATGACCATCCTATCAAAAGCCATAAAGTCAATGTAATCCCCCATTAAAATTCCAACACAAATCTTCACAGAAATTGAAAAAAACAATCTCAAATTTCAATGAAAACTCAAAAACCCAGGAGAGCCAAAACAATCCTCAACAGAAGTCCTGGAGGCATCACTGTTTCTGATTTCAAATTATACTACACAACTACAGTAATAAAAACAGCACAGCACTGACATAAAAACAGACACATTGGTCAATGGAATAGAATTAAGGACTCAGATTTAACAGCCTTACAGTTACCCAATTTTTTGACAAAGGTACCAAAAATGCATATTGGAGAAATGACAGCATGTTCAATAAATGGTGCTGGACAAATTAAGACAGCTACATGTAAAAGAATGAAACTAGAGACCTATCTGTTACCATGCACAAAACTCAACTCCAAATGGATCAAGGACCTCAACATAAGACCTGATACCTGAATCTGACAGAGGAAAAAGTGGGGAATACTTTGGAATTCATAAGTGCAGGAAAGAACTTTCTGAATACGATTCTAAAAGCGCATACATTAAGATCAATAATTGAAGAATGGGACCTCATGAAATTAAACAGTTTCCAATAGTAATGACACCATCATACAAGCAGCAAGTCAACCTACAGAATGGGGGAAAAACATCTTTACCAGCTATACATCTGACAGAGGGTTGGTATCTACAACACACAACTAAAAATCTAAACAACAGGCAGCTGGAGAGAGGGCTCAGCAGTTATGAGCACTGGCTGCTCTTACAGAGGACCTGGGTTCGATTTCCAGTACCCACATGGTGGCTAACAACCATCCGTAGCTCCAGTTCCAAGGGATTTGACTCTCTCTTCTGACCTCCATGGGAACTGCATGACACAGATACACTTACAAACATTCAGGCAATATACTCATGCACATAAAATAAAAAATAATAATACTTGCTCTTAAATCTAAACATCAAGAAAACAACCCAATTAAAAATTTGGGCAAGGAAGTAAAAAGAGTTCTCAAAAGATGAAATGCAAATGGCAGAGAAATATTTTTTAAATGCTCAACATCTTTAGCCATCAGGGAAATGCAAATTAAAAACTCCAAGATTTTATCATCCCCCAGTCAGAATGGCTTAGAGCCAAAACAAAGAATGACAAACGCTGGCTGGTGAGGGTGTGGGGAAAGAGGAACACTTACTCTCGCTGCTGGTGGCCATGCAAACTGATGTAGTCACTAAGGGAAATCAGTGTAGTGATTCCTCAAAAAGCTAGAAATAGATCTACCACATGATCCAGCCATACCATTCCTGGGCATATACCCAAAAGGACTCTATATCCCACTACAGAGATATGTGCTCATCTATACTCACTGCTGCTGTTTTCACAAAAGTCAGGAAAAGGAAACGTAGATGTCCATCAACTGATGACTAGATAATGAAAATATGGTACATTTACACAATGGATTATTATTCAGCTGCTAAGAAAAACAAAACTATGAAATTCAAAGGTAAATGGATGGAACTATAAACAATCAACCTGAGTGAGGTAGCCCAGACCCAGAAAGACAAAATGTTGCATGGTCTTTTGTAAGTGGATGCTAGCTTTTTGGGGGGGGGGGGGGAGCTCCCTGTAGCACCAGCTGGAACTCACTATGTAGATCAGGTTGGTCACGATCTCACAGAGATTGACCGGCCTCTGCCTCTCAGTGCTGGGACTAAAGGTATGAGCCACCATGCCTGATGCTAACTTTGAATCTTCAGGTATGTGAGTTTTAAGCGGAAAATCCATAGAGGTCAGGAAACCTGTTAAGAGGTCATGAGGAAGGGGAGGCCATGGGATGGGAGATAGACTGCAGTAACAAAAAGGAAAAGGTAATAATGGGATAGGAAGGGTTAAATGGGAAGGCAATGGAGGGCTGGGCAAAGGAGGAGATATGAGGGAGGACAACTAATACCAGGGGCTTGTTTGGTTTTCTGTTGTTGTTTTGAGACAGGGTCTCCTTGTGGCCCCAGCTGGCCTGGAACTCACCATGTAGACCCAGTTGGCCTCATTCTCACTGAGTTCTGTCTGCCTCTGTGTCCTGAGGGCAGGGACTAAAAGGCATGTGCCACCACACCTGGCTCACTATGGGCTTTGTGAAAAAGCCATATGGAAACCTACTACTATGGAAGCTTCTTAAAATATGAATGCAATATTAAAAAAAAAAAAGTTTAAATGGAGCTACAGTGCCTCTACCAGACAGTACAGGCTAGCAAATAAAAAGCCCAATGCCAGGAATGGACTCCCTCTTTTGAAAATGTTGACGAAGGGAGTTCACAGACCTGCAAATAATACTGGCTGTTGCCACAGTCCTTGATTGCCTAGCAGAACTTGATGGTAAGACCCTATTGCTGAAGACCAGACATACCTGAGTCACAGAACAAACGGAGAAATCAAGCTAGTACTGACTTAAAAGTGCATCTAAGCCTAGCTTTCAAAGTGCTGGAAGGTTTATGCATGCTTCCAGAAAAGAAAAGTAACTGTCAGCTTTACTCAGCTGTGAACCTTACAAGCTATTAATAACTGGCCTGGCAAGATGTCCACTGGTACAATACTGGCAAAAATACTATTGTAATAACCAATCACTTTCTGATTGGATTTAAGGACAACTTCACAAGATGGAGTCCATACCTGGCACTGTCATCAGGGCCAAGAGCCTATGGCCAGAGCAGTTATAGGCTATGGGGCAGAACCTACTATAATTCTGCCATATGGACATAGTGTTAAACCAACTCTTAATGACTTATTGTTATACCCATAGACTAGTATATCTCTCAGCTTCCACCAGAGAAGCTTCTTGCAGCAGATGGTCTACAACTGGTCAACATGTAGAGGATAGAAGACTGCAGAGCACTGAGGCCTAATTGGACATCCATATCACACCCTTACCACCTAAGGCTCAGGGATCACTGCAGAAGAGGAGGTAAAAGATTGTAAAAGCCAGAGTGGTGGGTGAATACAGGGAACTGTGTTTTCTGGACACAACAGGGCAATTGCACACATGAACACACGGCATGTGACAATATGCAGCCCAAGCGAGACAAAAGCCTAGCAAGGATAGAGGAGGTAGGCAAGAAGCCCCAACCTTGCTGAGTGACTGCTGGCTACTTACAGCTGCTGGGACAGCAGGGAGTGGTGTCAGATAAGCTGACCAAGCTCTAGGGGATGGACCCACACTGCATTTGAGGCCACACTTTACCTTTTCCAAGTTTTCTTCTCTTCAACCCATTGTCTCTAGCCTGGATAGCCTACCTGTGTCCCACAGTGACACTAATCCAGTCACTATACCTGTAGGGTTTTTACAACTCCAAGTCTGACTTATTTAACACAAGTGTTGGTCCTGTGAAGGTCTGGCTTCACAGGAAGCCTTTTCTTATACCCTAACCCACAACATTCTCTCCTCAGCACTCCTACAGCTCTTTCCCATCATATTCAAGATGTAACATCAAACAGAGGATACAATCTGCTTTCACATACTTGGTATTATCCATCCTAACTAGATTCAAGAGGTTTCTAGTCTGTGTCTCCCTACAGTCCTCAGCAAATAATCAACACTCTTGAACAAATTCATTAGTAGGTATACTTTCAGACATGACATTGTAGACTCAGGGAGGCAAATCCACTTACCTCTAAGATTTCTGAGTCTGAAACCATGCTGACTTGTTTTATTTCAGGTTCCATAGCCATAGTTTCTTCTTGTTTAATTTCAGTGTGTGTATGCATGGGTACTTCTAGATTAAACTCAGGGTCTGTTCCTGCAGGTCGTTTTTGCTTAATCTCTGGGTGTGTGTATATGAAAACTTCTTGCTTGAATTCAGGATCTGTGCACACGGGAACTTCTTGCTTGGATTCAGGATCTGTGCACATGGGAACTTCTTGCTTAGATTCTGTATCTGTCCACACAGGAACTTCTTGCTTGGATTCAGGATCTGTGCACATGGGAACTTCTTGCTTGGATTCAGGGTTTGAACTCATTGATAGTACTTGCTTCTCTGTTATTACACCTTTGGGTTTTTGGAGAAACCATGGAGATTTCTGTCCTGGCAAAAGATATGATGCTACTCCTTTATAAAAAAGAGCTTTGTTTGATCCCAAAGGCAACATCTCTTCTATTTTCTTCTCACCTTGATGTAAGTGAAGAACTTTGGCTATATGGTCTGAGACAGCTAAAATAATATTGCCTCTTTTGCCAAAGTTCTCTTTCATAGAAGTATAGGAAGATAAGCACTTGTACCGAAAGCTTTCGAACATGCCCTCTGGGATGATATCATTGCCAAGCAGGCAGGCCAAGAGAGGAAGGTCTGCCACACGGAGGCCTAGGCTCTCACAGAGCTTCTCTCGACAGAGCATGATGGTTTCGAGACTCTCCAGGCAGAGCTCACTAATTGAAAAGTAGGGACAAGTGTCATAAATTAAGTAATCAGTGTCTTCCCCAAGAATCCCAAGACAGTTGTGCTGGAGACCATAAGAAGCCACCTCATAGTCTGCCTCCTGTAACGAACACAAAGTTTCCTGGCCTAGTGTCTTTAGAGCGAATCGTGTAAATATGGCCAGCCCGGAGGGGATGAAGAACATATTTCTGCCTGGCTGCTCTCTTTTTGACTTGATGTAGTGGAAAATTCTGGATATCTCCCTGTTGTTCTTAAGTCTTCGCTTTACCCACTCATCTCTTTTACCCTGCTCCACCATGCCGTCAAAGAAGAATATCAACTTGATGCCAACAGAGGTAAAGGCTTTAACAAAATCTCTCAAAGCAGAAAAGTATTCTCGCCACTGGCCACCACAGATCCAAGATTCTGGAGTGTACCAATATCGCAGACAGCACATGGCATCCACCACAATGGTAGGAGTACATCCAGGATGCCTGTCTCGGTGGTGCTCTGCCAGCTCTTGGAAATTTACTACTGTACATATATGTGGGCATGTACTTCCCACAAACCCCTGCAAACCTCTCACACCCATAACTGAATTGAGAAAGAATCTGCAAAGAAAAATAAATCCATAATTAGTAACTATGGCATTATCTCTAGATATACAGCACTCTTCAAAGCAAACAGACAATATTTAATATTCTAAAAAAATTTTGTCACCAAACTAACATGACTTCCTGGCTAGAAGTCTGAAGCATTTTCAGTTGAAATATGCAAGGCAAGGCACTTTCCCTAAGCATACACTGATTTCTATAGTGGGATTTCACAAAGACAATATATAGCATAGTAATCTTTTAAGATTTTCACTAGTATTCAAGATATTTCTCAGTCAAGTTCAAAGAGGTTTTTAGTTTTCATTTTATTTTGGTGGGACATGCACATGTGAAGGCCAGGGGACAGCTTGTGAGAATTGGTTCTCTCCTTCCACCACGTGGGTCCCAGAGTTTGAACTCAGGATAGCAGGCTTGGAAGCAGGCACCTTTACTTGCTAAACTATCTCACAGGCCCAAGGTTAAGGGGTAATTATCTCCCACCTAGAACTTAAAAAGTTATCTTTAAAAACCTAAAACACAAATTGAAGCATGCAACATGGGCAATTCTCAAAATACTTTTGATGACTTAAAGTAGTCAGACAAAAAAAAAAAAGAAAGAGAGAACACTGTGGCATAAAATTCTATGTCATCAAGAGCTAAGCTAGTCTGTGGCGACAAAAAGCAGACTAACAGTTGTCAAAAATCATAAAAGAAGTTACTGGTTTGTAGAAAAGAGGTGACATGATCACTCTTCATATGAAGGTACAGCTAGTATGGTCATAGACAGTCATATGATGGGGCCCTGAAGTGGGTAAGCAAGCCTTCGGGTCCAAAGAAGAGTTTCATTAGGAGAGAGAGCATGACAAGAGTCCTGAAGAGAAAGAGCCAGACCCTTAAGCTACTAGAATATTTTTTAAATATTTTTTATTTATTATTTTATGTATACGTGTACTGCCTGCATATAGGTAAGAGACTGTTGGATCCCCTGGAAGAGACTGTTGGATCCCCTGGAACTGGAGCTATGGACAGTTCTTAGCTGCCATGTGGGTGCTGGGATTTGAACCAGGGTCTTCTGCAAGAACAGTCAGTATTCTTAACCGCTGAGCCATCTTTCCAGCCCCCGCTACTAGAATATTAACAGCGCTATCACATTGTACCATAGATGACACGACAGGGCTTTGAAGGAAGAGAGAATTCCTTCAGTTCAGGAGAAACAGAAGGAGTTTTTTTTTTTTTTTTTTTTCCATCCACTGCCTGTGAGAGTCTTTGTTTCAAATATTTTATACTAAAACTGTTAAGATAACAATGGGTTCCTTGAAATATTTTCTTTATTTTCCAGGAGGCCAAGATCAGTATACTGCTTTGGTTCTATTCAAATGTTTTCTGTCCCTTCCTTACCCCATAATGGAAAGCCTACTGTTTTAACATGAGCAGACACTGGTACTTCCTGTCTGTCACACTGCCCATCTCTCACACTATGTATCACAAACTACCTCAGGAGGGTGGTCAGTACTTCTCTCTACATACACACACCACACACATACATGCACACACCACACACAACACACATATCACATACATATACACACAGGCATACACACAGCGCACACACACACACCACACACACAGAGCAACATATTCACACGTTTAGAAAGGGCTTGAGGTAGAGGGCTGGAGAGACTGCTCAATTATTTAAGTGCACTGGCTGCATAGGTTCAGTTCCCAGCACTCACATGGCATCTTACAACCATTCATACCTCCAGTTCCAAGGGTTCTGACACCCTCTTCTGGCCTCTGCAGGCATGCATGACATGGACTTACATACCAGTAGGCAAAACACTCAGGTACAATTTTTAAAAAGTAAAAAAAATTAAAAACATTAAAAACAACAAGGGGCTTGGGGGCTTGTGACATTGGTGGTGCCTTCTGAAGTTCAAAGGGTTGTCAACTGCTAAATATTCACAACACCCAGTCAGTGCAGTATTGACAGCTATTTCCTCTGAACTGAAACATTCCCTCTTAGAAGAAAGAAGGAAGGTCATATAACTGAATAAGTAAACAACTTACAAGGATCAGGAAGTGCACAACACTTTCAAGACTCAAACTCCTAAAATGCAGAATGTTCATAAGGCCCCTCCCCAATATTACATAAGCAGTAAATAATTGCTGAGAGGACGCTCTCCAAATAGCCCAGATGCCTGAGACCCGTGCAGGGAGCTCCACAAATGCATTTTCTTCTGTTGCCAACCATGCTGAGGCGGTTTTTCAGTGATATAACTGCCTTTGAGTCACCCATGCCCCAGTCAGAACTAATAAACACACTAGTTTCTTCGGTCTGTTATCAGTGCTTTATCTGGGGTGAACAGACATTTGTTCAGTCTCCCCAGTAAAAGTCACATGACATGCAGTCAGCACATTGTGAAATAAAATGTCCCAGAAGACAGAAAGCTGTAGCTACTGCTTCAAATAACTGTTTTTCTTTTATTGCTAAGAATGTGTATGGAGGCTCTTCATTCTCTAAAGGGAGTTATTACAGGATGACTGAAAAAAATGCACGAATAAATTAGGAACTTTTCATATCTAGATAACAGAAGAAGGTAAGAAAGGGGGAGAGAGGGATGGAGAGGGAGGGAGAGAGTTAATAGGTTGATTCAAAATACAATCTGAGATGCTCTGAGAATCACTACCAGTAGTGTGGGCCTCTCAAAGCAATGACATCATCATCACATCACAACACACCCCACCCAATGTCTCTCATGATAGGCCCAATAAGTATTTGAAAAAGTAAAATGAATAAACTCAAGGGCAGGTGTATAATGAAAGATCAAGAATCCACCCACAGTTTATCTCACTACAACCAAGAGAGTACAAATTAGAATTACAGTCACTGCTTTTCAACGGCTTACCCCAGGGCTCAGGAAATAATACAGAACGTTTCAGGAAGGAGCCAAAGAGCTGCAGGCTCAGGGGCAGCGGGATGCTCTGCACTTGTGGCATAGTTTCATTTTTCTTTGACAGCCAAAACCAGTCCCTACTACTGGGTTACCAGCAAATGGGAAAGCAAAAAGGGGAAAGAAACCCAGAAGGTCCTTTACACTCAGAGAAATTAACAGAGTAGCACATTTCAGCCTAACCCTAACCCTGACTGATGCCAAGGCTTGCCTAGGAGCACTCTGAAACTGACAGGCTCATGAAAACACAGGAGAACACGGCCTCTGTAGAAGGACAGCAATATTCCACAGCTCACCAAATTCCTCTATTCACCTGGTCACTGTCTATGGATATTTACCAAGCTCCAGGTCCTCACTAAGACCATGGATAGAGTTAACAAACAAGACCAAGACTCTGACTGAGCAGATGATGACTCTTCAAATAAAATGATGAGCTCAGGTTCCATTAGTCAAACAGAAAGTGTGGGAGTATGTTCATATAAAACGCAACCAACTTTACATGTGCCCTCTAGCCCCACTGGCACAGAGTAGACACATTATCCAGTTATTCAGCCTCATTTGTCAGACTCACCCCAGCAAGGCAGTAGGCATTGATGCTGGGGAAGCAATCAGAGTATGTGCCTGCTGAAGTCTTGCTGTTGCAGGTAATTCCCAATCACAAGGGCCCTAACAGGATGATTGAGACAGTTTTCTGAATTTTCCCAGCAACCTAGAACTCTGTACTCTTGACTTTTCCCTAACCCTTTCACTGTCCTAGAAAGTAGAGTGTGAAAATCACTGTCACTAAACACAGAAACGAGAAAAATGTATGTGTAACTATATACATTTATGTCACATCCAGAATCCAGGATAATTCCAGTCTACAAACTAAAGCTAATACAACTTATTTGCAAGGAACTCTTATCTCTGAAATATTTTTCTACTTGTAACAATTAGCTCCTAAACTGAAGAGAGAGAAGAGTGTATGGGAAAGCAACTTTGAACAGACACGTTGACAGCTGACATTAGAAAACCCAAAGTACAAAGAAACTAAAAAAAACATACTACAACAAGGGAAGAACAGGGGAATTGAGTACACATGCTTCAACAAGCCTGACAACATCACTAGTTACACAACTCCACATAACAGATGCTACTTAATATGTTCACTTGAGATCATTAAGGAATGTCTGTATTCCCAGGCATGGTGGTGCATGCCTTTAATCTCAGCACTTGGGAGGCAGAGGCAGGCAGATCTTTGAGTTTGAGGCCAGCACGGTCTACACAACAAGTTCCAGGCTATCCAGGGGTACATGATGAAGTTCTGACTTAAAAGAATGAATCACATTCTTGGTCCTTAATTGGCAAAAACAAATTATCTAGAAAACCTGTTCAGAAAGATGCTTTCTTTCTGACCTAGTTGCCCATGGTCTTACTGTGAATGATGATATTAAATCCACACAAATCTGTATTAATTTTTTTTTCATTACAGTTATTTACTTATTTGGGTAGAGGGGAAGCATGTGCCACGGAAAGACAGAGGACACCTCCATTAATTGAGTCTCTCCTTCTATCACGTGGGTTCCAGGGAATGAACTTGAGGGCAAGTGCCTTAGGAACAGATGTCCGAAAGCAAAATGCAAGTTATTTATACGTGGTATTCAGTTCTCTTACAATTGAGAGCGTTATGTAGAATATCCTTCTTACCAAGGTTGGGGCAACACAGAAATGAAATGTTTAATAACTGAACTTAAGGTTGAAACAGACTATATATAT